CTTGGAACAGCAGCCATAATGCATAAAAGCACTAAAAAGCACTTCAAAGCGCTTTACTACAGTATATATCGCTTTAAAATACAAATTACCGAGTTTGTACGGCCCAAACCCAACCCAAATTCTTAAATAAATGGGTTTTTTGTACCCGACACAAACCCTACCCGTTTAAACTTAGAACCCATTTCTTTAACCAATCCTCCCTCTCTCTATTGTTCAAACTTTAAAAAGAAACCCTAACACAAAATCGCAACCGCTTCTCGTTGTCGAAGTTTGTTAGAGCTCCACTACCTCTGTTGTCAAAGTTTCATCACCTCCCGTCATCGAAGCTCCATCGTCTCTCCTCATCGAAGCTCCACTGCCTCTCATCATTCTCTTATTGTCGAAGGTCCACCTCCTCTCTTTGTTGAAGATCCACCTCCTCTATTCCTCGTGAAGCTCCTCTGCCACTCCCAACTCTACTTCCACCTCCTCTATTCCTCGTGAAGCTCCTCTGCCACTCCCAACTCTACTTCCACCTCCTCTCTTCAAAGCACCGCCACCTCCTCTTCGAAGCTCCTCTATCTCATTTTGTACAGTATTTTGTTAATATTGTGTGATTGTTAGACGTTAGTTTATGCTTACAATCTCTACCTATCATCAAATATGTATTTGTAGAATTTTTAGATTGTTCTTCAATTTTTCTTCTTTTTTTCGAAACATTTATACATATTTAAGGTGGATCGCTCTTTGCCATTTTTTGCCACTAAAGCCCCAAATAGCCTAGCAGTGCCTCACCGCTAGGCTATACTTTCCGCTTTCGATAAGCTTGCAGCCTATTTTCATCCTCCAAAAGAAGCATAACAGACACATTACTTGTTTTTTTTTCTGGTAAGAGTCAATAATAATGAAAGTTTACTAATAAATCATTAAAGAGATGACATTTTTCACAAATTGAACTACTAAACACTAGTTTACAATTTTTCACAAATAGGATTCAACAGTTTCACCTTTGGATAGTCCCGCAATCAGTAAACAAACCAATCTTTTGTCATCAGTTTCACATGGTTAACTATTGAACTATTTAAAACTAACAGAGAAAATATTCACGTTTGAAACAAGTTCTTGCCAAGCCCAATGACTTCCCTGGGCCTGAGTCACTATACTTTTCTACAGGAAGCCATCAGCTTCCAAGCTTCAACACTACATCTCTCTCATTCACATCTTCACAAGTCCAAACTATAATCCATTTCCACTTCTATTCACTATAATATTATCAATCCCCTCACACCACTAGCTGGTTCGCTATTAGCCTATTACGTACCTATCCAAACAGGATAAATCGTGCAAGCCCAACCAAGATCCATATGGGTAATACTAATTAGACTACAAACTCTATACTAATCTTTACTACAGAAAACAAGGTGCAGAGTCCTTTTCCTCTTGAATTGCTATTGCTATGAGAAATATGAGTCTCTAAGGACACCAAACTTCACTTTCTTGCATTGCAGAAACTGTCTATACTTTGTTGTTTTATTAGCGTGACCCAATAAATAGAGCCATCAGATTTATCATTATCCTTCAAGACTTTCAGATTCCTAACAGAAAGACTAATTTTCTAGTTTTGTAACTTAATCAGTAAAATCTTAGGTAAGTTCAAAACAAGACCCTTCCGGGGTCAATCCGCAATTAACCCTAAATTTGAAAAAGCTACCTCCTTTGCATCAAAATTCAAGATCATATACCTCTGGATGATACTGCAACCCATATACCCTCCTGCCCCGATTCTCAAACGCCGCCACCGCCCCCTGCACGCTCCTCGCCGCAACCTCAAACCCCTCCGGCAACCTGACTACCTCATCCCCATGGCTCATCCACACCACCTGCTCCTCCTCAACCCCAACCCCACCACCCACCCACCAACACCAAATCCCCTCCCGAAACCCTGATCTCCATCTTCCCATACTCCTGCTTCTCCCGGATCCCGACCTCTCCCCCCAACTCCTGCACAATCAGCTGCATCCCGTAGCAGATCCCCAGGAGGAATATTCCGCTGGATTCCGCGTAGTCGAGGAATCCGTCGGGGAAAGAGGGCCATCGGGGGCGTGTACGAGTGGGCCCAACGGAGAGGATGAAAAGCTTGGAGTGAGGGACGAATGGTAGTCGAGGGAGGATTGCCGGAGAACATGAGGAGAGGACTGCCGAGGTGGCGGATCCGGCGGGTGATGAGGTGCGTGTATCGGGATCCGAATCGTAGGATCAGAGAACGAGTTCTGTGATTTGGGAGGCGACGCCGTTGATTGACGGTGGTGGTTAGGGCGTCCATCGTTAGGGTTGGGGAAGGATGAGGGAGAAGAGCGGCTAGGGTTTAATGTGGTCGGAAAAATGGCGGGTATAACGCGGCGAATTGGGCGCTCGCTGTTAACGGGTCTGGGATCCGACCGGGATTTGTGAGGGCCAATCACCAAGGCTTCATATGAAGGGCATTTTCTGAATGGAGAATATTTTAACTTTTTTCTTTTAATATTTTTATCAGAACAGCAATGCTTAAGGAGCGTGTCTATTATTTATAATCCATTTGAACGATAATATTTAGCTTTTACTTTTAATATTTTTATCTGAATAGTTATGGTTTAAATAGAAATAGATGAATCATATCTTGGACATTTGTTGAAAGAAAAATTCCTCAAGGACCCGAAATATGGCACCAATAGAGAAGACAAGTGAGGTGTCCCCCTCCTATTGGATAATGAGTTGGCCATCATTAATGATGGCCAACTCATTATCCAATAGGAGGAAGACACCTCACTTGTCCCCTCTATTGGTCTCATATTTTGGGTCCCTGTAGCAAAGCTCCTTTTTTTTCCCAGAAAAAAGATGGGGGTGTATTCCTCATGTTTTTATCTGATCAATATGAATAATATTATAAGATGAAATAGAAGCTGACAGGAGTAATGCTTGAAATATAAGTGTGCATCCACAAATTTACTCAAGTTATATTATCCTATGCAAGTTAGATTTCTAGTAACGCTATCCGATTTCGTTCCAAAAAGAAACAGACATCATTTTTCGTTAATGGAGCTCTGATTTGATGTATTTGGCAGGAGAAGAGTAGAAGAATATTTAAGACAAATTGAATTTAAGAAGAGGATTAAAATTTTAACGGTACGCATGTTGTCACAATTTTCAAATACTAAGCATGCGTACTAAATACATCTATAACAAGAATTATATAATATTTATAACATGATATCAAGCGTTACACAATCACCATTTAGTAAAATACCCGAAGTTCCAAAATGGACCCCCAACAAATATCCCTGAGATGTTCTTGCACAATATCAACTAAAATCTTCAAATCTGGCTCGTCGATACTTGTTTTATGGTGGTTTATGGTAAATTTAATATTTGTAAAGAAAAGGACATCAATAGGAGTGTCTCAAATGAAAATTACAAATAAAAACAACTTCTCACAACCCTTGTAGCTTCTGGCATCATTATATGCAAAAACCATCTCAGAATCTAGCCAGGTTGGTTCTTTTGTGGAACTTCTTCGTGTGATATTACGTACATACAGGAGAAATAAAGCCCTGCAAACGATATCACATAGAAAAAAACACCTGAATTACTTAAAAAGATTCATGACCATTTTGTGCACAGAAAAGGCCACAAAATACTATAGCACAATAAAAATGCTTACCAGTTACATTAGCCTTCCATAACTCCAAACAACTTTCAGATGTCCCTCAAGGAAGCCGAACTAATCGGTCCACAGCTGAATCCAGAGCATCGACATTTTTTCTCAAAACCTTTCTGTTGTTAGAACTAAGAAATTTACACATGGTTCAAAACACATGAATTTTAATAGCATTCGAAAAGAGTTTAAATCATCAACATTATAATAACACCTAGAGCCAGTCAAGTTTCTCATTGACCAAGAAGAATTTTATCTAAACTCCCCTACCACATAGTTACATTAGTAAAGTGTTACTTAAAGGACCTAGACGCTTTCAGTCTGCGAAAACAGTCTAGAATTATTTCAAATATTCTCAGAAAACCTTAGAAGCACATGAACCCAAGCTTATGAATGTGTTAGGAAGAATACAAATCCCCTGCAAACTTATATACACCTCAATATCCATGAAAGTTTTGAGTAACTGAAAATCTTGAGTAACTGAAAAAGTAATAACGTTCAAAAAAATCATATAAATAACGACAAAAATCATGAAGAGACAAAAATGTCGATTATGGGGGAAGCACAGAATAACTAAATTTGACTATAATCTTGGCAAACAGGACATATGTGTACCGCACCTTAAATTAAGAAAGCTGTCACTTACAGAGGAAAACTGCATAATAATATAAACAGTATGGATGAAACCATTATTGGTACTCCCAGAAAGAGCGTTTGGAGAAAGAATTCGTGTAACAAGGAAAAAGGGAAATAAGTTATTATACAAGCAAAATACAGGGCAGTAATCCTGTCATATACAGGGAATATAATTCAAACGTGTAATATGGACAAGGCAAATACAGCATATCCCCATTTCTCTGCGGCTCTTGACAACAATATAGAGAAGAGTCAAATGGAGGATAAAGTTGTAGCAATAGACAGCTCCAAGGGAAGCCAAAAGAAAATTAAAGGATACAGTTGCAAAGCAAGAGTTTCCATGCCCTTCAATTCTTCACTCAATCTGCAATATACAAAATATGGAAGCATTACAGAGAAGAACAATTAGCAAAGGGGGAAAAATCCTAGTTACATGATTTAGATGGCACCACAGTGATATATGTTGTATCTTTCAGCCTTAAGGAGCCAGCTTGCAAAATTACTCACAACAATATATGTGATAAGACTATTAAACAGAACCGCCAAAAAAATACAGAAAGAAAACCATGTGTAGAAAAACACATTTATATCCAGCTTAAGAAGTCTTTGGTATGATATTCCAAAGGCAAAAACATTTTATATAACTAAAATTCTAGCAGTACGACAAGTGGACCTTAACCAAAAAACAAAAGAAAGATTTTATTTTTGAACAGTGAAGAACCCTGCTCAAACCATTGTTGAATTAAAGATGTCCCTAGGGCACTCCACCAATATCTCAAACCCTTCTCCTCCAAGCATTATATCGGAATGTTCACAAATAACATATCTTCAAGCAGCTAAGGAACATTTCTTGGCATAATTTATCCATAACCGGAGCAGTAATACATAAAAGAAAAGCAGCATACTGGGAGATATACACCTGCATCAGAAAGGGCCTTGCCTATGTGGAACATGTCTCCATCATATTAAAACATCAATCTAGGAAAGATATGCAGATGGTTCTGAAGAAGCAAATTGAAACTAAATGCCACTTAACACATATATTGGACAGCATAGCATTGTGCTAGTCTAAAATTCTTAGAAAACGGAAGAGGAAAAAAAACAGAACTCACACTTTTTACATGATTAGATCAGCTCTAGTAAGACTTACTTTGCTTGTGCTGAAATATATCTTGAACACCCTAAAAGCCCGAGCATATAATATCCTTAAGATAAATTATAAGATTGACTAGATCTAAGATTTGAGATTGTGATTTTATCCCTCCAAAATAATATTTTGCAACTCAAATGGAAGGTATAAACTATTAAATATGACCTATATTATTGTAAATACCTAAAAGAAAATTTCAAAAGTTTTTATAATTTCTTTCTCCAGCACAAATGGACGGTCTTGAATAGCAAACTGTTGAGGTTTGCAGTTAAGAATATATTGAACCTAGTAAACTGGTGCCACAGGGTTTCTCACTATTTAGATCAAAATTAATAGTTTACATTCAATATCTAGAAGCTTCAAACCATATTTTTGTTCAACATTCTGTTTTAAGCCATTCATTTGGTCTGGTGCTGATGACCCCTGGGAAGAAACATTTGAATCATATAATCTTGTAATTCGGTCATTTTAAACATCATTACTCATATTTAACGGTTCAAATGAACCAAAAGGACTAGGTACCTCAAGCATGAATTTATGTATCGGTTTCCCTTAGTTGCTGCATCAAGGGCTGCAAGGCAAAATAGATATTAGCTGATAATTTTGAAAAGAATATCCTTGCAAAGATATTTTAAGTCAGTAGATTCAATAAATAAATAAATAACAGATGTTGAAATGTCAGAAGCACAAAACCAGGTTCTCGATGAATCAAATAGTAAAACCTAGACTCCAACATTTTGGTCCCATTTATTTCTTTCCTTTGTAGAAAAGTTGATTTGTACATTTCATTTAGGAAAAATTTACCTTTGGTGGGCTCGATTGACAATCAAGCATACAAAGAGCAAACAACAAACACAGAAGTTTTACCAAGTAATGAAGCTACTTAGAAACAAAATAACCAGAATTACATTTATGTGGTAGAACAGTGATATAAAAACAGACCCAGATGAAAGTATCGTTTAAAGTTTAAACTCACTATCATCTGCAACAAAATTATACAGTTTGTAGTAAATTATACTATTCAATCAAGTTTAGCATACATATAGATGGTGCACAAAATAAGCTTATGAGATTCTTGTATGCAGCTATAGACGAGATAATTATTATTAAGGTTAACATGTGCCAAGAAAATATGGTTCACCGAGTTAGTTTACCAGATTCCTGTATGGATCCAACAACATCACTGAAACACTGCATATTCTCCACGGACGTACTTGTTGCCTACATGATGTGAGTTGTTGTGTCAAAGATTCTCGGCAAAAAAAATAGAATCAAGATGATAAGCACGTGCAAATTCTTATATTAATACATTATCAGAAATATTTGACTATTTGAGTACCCTTTACCTACTAGAATTATATCATCAAAAGAACACAAACATTTCAAGGAATAAACAGCAAAACATGTCATAATACAGTAAAAATCAGAAATTGAAACACAAGCCCAGCAAAAACTATACAGCAGAATCAACTTATGAATACTTGTGTTTTCCATTTGCAAGATTTTGTTGTTTCTTTCCGGTTATCAATCACAATATGCTGTAAATTTGTTCTCAAATATTAAAAACCGATTTTTTTTAAATTGAATTTTAAAGTTCAGTACTCGTCAAAACCCTAGTTCTGACGTTACCAATCAAAATTAAAACCGAACACAGCTTTCTGCGGCTCTCGACGAACTAAATCTAACTGTAGTGATGTTTAACGAATCGAACCTCAGAGAGAGCCATTCGAAGCGAGGAGAAGAGGGAGGCGTAGCTGTCGGCAATGGCGACGGCGTCCCTCTCAACGATCTCCAGTGCTTTGAAGATCTCATTTCGATCGAGAGCAGCAGCGGGCTTGGCCTCTGTTGGTTCTGGATCTTGTTGAGAGATGCTAGGGTTTTGAAGAGTTTCGAGATTTTGAGAATTTTGGTGCTCGATTCCCTCCATCGTTGAGTCGAAACGATGGGAATTTACTGGGAACGGAAGGACTTTTGTGCAGATGGTAGAGGATTTTTTTCGACATTAGTCCGTAAATCCTTAACATTTTGAAATTAGTCCCTCAAATCACTGAACTTGTTATTTAAATCCCCGACTCTTTATTGAAGGGATTAATTTCGAATAGCCCATAAAAATTGGGAGACTGAATAGCAATTTCAATGAGCCGACCGTCTGAGGGACTAATTTTCAGATAACTTATAAACATGTGGGGGCCATAATAGCAATTCAATAAATTGAGGGGCTCAGTCAAATATTAAAGATTTATTAGTACTAATATCGGGGGAAAATAATCCTTTATTCAATTGAAACAACCATACAAGCTCCCCCAATTATGCAGCTTATCCAATTTATTTATGAAATCAATCCCTCGATTTATCATGGCATAGAAAATTGTAAAAAGCTTGTTAAAATGTTGATTCATGTAACGCAAAGATCCAAAGGATCGCCAATGACATCCCCTTTAGAGATTCATTTCTTCAGAAATTGACAAATTGTAAAAGTTTGTAAACCTTTCACACTGAAATATCTATCTCAAAGCGTCTATAGATAATTATCTTACAGAACTTCAAGAGTACAATCCCCACAAAGAAGCTTCCTCATGCTCTTCATCTACTTAGTGTTATCTTAGAGTTTCGGAGCTTCAACTAAACTGTATTTGCATCTCAAATCATCAGCATAAGATTCATTCTTGCTAAAACATTGCCATAATTAAAGGCAATTGAGACGAAAGAATGAAAATGCTAACAATAGCGAAGAAACTTGTTTATTAATCTAATCTAATCTAATATACTATTATAAAAGTGTGTTGACATGTTAAAACATTTCTTCCGAAAATATCCTTCAAGTCATACTAAAGCACATACATGCATACATAAAAACACATATATGAATATATAAAACACATACATACATAAATCATGCCCCTTCAAATCTTTCTCATAACCACCAATTAAATTAAATATAATAAATACACCTCCAATTTGCATTCACTAATCACTACCATTAGAAAAATTAATTTAATTAAAATTCTTCTCTAGTATTATATAATAATAACTCAATATAATAATACTATGTAGTAGTAGTAATAATCTAATCTATCTAATCTAATCTAATATTATTATAAAAGTGTGTTGTCATGTTAAAATATTTCTTCCAAAAATACCCTCCAAGGCATGCTAAAACACATGTGCATACATAAAAACACATATATGAATACATAAAACACATATATACATAAACCATACTCCTTCAAAGCTTTCTCATAACCACCAATTAAATTAAATGTAATAAATGCACCTCCAATTTACATTCACTACCATTAGAAAAATTAATTCAATTAAACTCCTTCTCTATTATTATATAATAATAACTCAATATAATAATACTATGTAGTAGTAGTACTAATTATACTATGTAACAACATATCCTACTATGCAATAGCTTCAAATTCTTATTGTAACTGCCAATTAAATATCATCATCAATTTAATAGCCCTACTAACTACAAATTAAACTCTAACCATTCATACCTCAATCATTATACAACTCAATTCACATTCCCAATTAAACAATCAAGCTCAAACCTCTCAAAGTGTAATCTCTTACTCTCTCTCTCTCTCTCTCTCTCCCTCTCAATCTCTCTCATACTTCCCGTCCTACATCAAACTCCATCAACAACGGCCTCCACCTCCTGACCTTTGCAACTAGCCACTACAATCCTGGCTAATTTCATTGTTTGCTCTGGTGAACAATAAAGAGAGGAAGTAAAGAAAGATAAATGTATCTATTTACTTTCATTTCCATCAATCTAGACTGGTGTAATTTCAAAGGTGGATCCATTCATTATGATTGTCTGATATGTTTGATTTTATGATGAGCTTCAAGTTTATTTAATAGTGTGACTAGAAATGTAAAGTATGGTTGTGAGAGTGAGTTGTATACTTTTCAGAGTGTAATCTCTTACTCTCTCTCTCTCTCTCTCTCTCTCTCTCTCTCTCTCCTCTCCCTCTGCTCTCTCCTCTCTCTCTCCCTCTAGGCTGTCCATGCCGGGCCGGCCCGGCCCCGGAAAACGCGGGCCCGGGCCGGGCAAAACCCAAGCCCGGACCCGGGCCCGGGTGGTCCGGGCCGGGTCCGGGCCCGGGCCCGGGCCTGAGCGGGCCGGACACCGGGCCGGCCCGGTTTGATTTTTTTTTAGAAATTTTTTTTGTTTTTTTTAATTTTAACAAAACCATAAACCATAAATTATTATAAAAAATGTCATAAATTTAATTAATAGCTTGTAATGAAATGACATAAATTACAAGTACAAAAAATGATAAAAATAACTTCTTTATTAATAATCGGTAAATCCTTTACAAATCCTTTACAAGTATAAATTTATTTCGAAATTCGTCGCATCACAATAGATGAGTACATCCCAACTAGGTTGGCACCTACTCACCCATATCACTATCATTTGCAACTTTTTTCGAAATAATTTAATTCAAATTTAAAGCTAAGAAATAAAAATTACAATTTTATGAATATTATCTAATCATTATATCTATCTGCTAGTCCCAACTCTTCAAATTTATCTTCAATCATAGCAATCCGTTCGATGCCTTGTGTTCGCTTCTCGTATCTCCACCAATCCTGTAAGCACATCACCGCTTGTACAGTATACGGATCTAAGCATGTCCTGTGGTCGTCGATCAAACGTCCTGCTGTGCTGAAAGCGGATTCCGAGGCTACAGTCGAAACCTGCACTGATAGTAAGTCACGAACCATGGTGGAAAGTATAGGATATGAAACTGATCCATATACTTTCCACCATTGCAAAATATCTAAAGCATTTCCTTGACATCTAACTAAAGAAGCAGAAAAATATTCATCTATTTCAGAAACATCTAATCCTGATGAAGTTCCAGATCCACCAGTTAGTTCAGCTACCATTGCATACCTATCAAAACTTACACTTTTACCTCGACCTGTGCTCGAAGCTGAAGGTGCCGAAGCTGAAGACTGTTGTGTAGCTACACCATATCTAGCTGCATACTCATCATATAAGGTTTGAAAATAATTTCTAATAGCTAAATAATGAGTAGTAGCAGTAAGGGTGGATCCATCATCTAAGTCTATAATCTGTCCACCATACAATGATTGTAACAAACTTCGAAGGCCAATTTCCTTCAAGCATGGATCAATAAGAACACCAATACCAAAAATATGAGGAATAGGCCTAAAATACTTATTAAATTTACTCTCCATTTCAAAAATTATACTTCCAAAAATATCATCCATACGATATTTTGTAAAATTTTTTTGAATATTTAAAATTTGTAAAGCAGCTAAAGTAATAGTTGGATAATAACAACCAGATAATAACATAGTAGCATCATAAAAAACTTGTAACATCTCATTTAATTTACATATAACTGTCCATTCATCTTCAGTTATTCCATAAGCACTACCAGAGCTAGAACTAGAAGCATAAAAATTTATAAAATCATTTATAATTTCTTTATATTCTATTGCTACAGATAACATTGCATAGGTGGAATTCCACCTATGGTCAACATCTTTTGGAATTAGTCTAGGCTTATAATTTTTTCTTTTACAACATTGTTTCCATCTTTTAATTCTCATTTCAGAAGCATTATGCATATTAGTAACTGTTCTAACTTTTTCTATCATGGGTTTAATTTCAGAAAATGCACTTTGAACAATTAAATTTAAAATATGACAGATACATCTAACATGAAAAAGCTCACCATGACATGGCAATGACAAAGTTATTTTCAGAAAATCAACAGCTACATTATTATTACTTGCATTATCTAGTGAAAGAGTAAATATTCTTTGATCAATTTCTAGTTTCATAAGTTCTTCAACAATTAAATTTGCAACATTAATACCAGTGTGTGACTCTTCAATTGCAATAAAAGAAACAACTCTTTTAAACATTTTCCAACTTTCATCAATCCAGTGTGCTGTTATACATAAATAACCAGTTTGCACTCTAGATGACCAAATATCAGAAGTTAAAGAAAATTTGCAGTTTAAATTTTTAAAATAAGAAATTATTTTTCCCTGTTCCTCAACATAATATTTTAAAATATCACGTTGACAGGTTTGACGAGAAAATTTTGTAAATGCAGGATAAAAACCATCTCTAAATAAATCTTCAAATTCATCATCTTCTACTAATTTAAAAGGAAGGTTTTTAAGAACAATAAACCTGATTACGCATTTCCGGGCTCGGGCAGCGTCATAATTCCAACTGCCGAGGGTACCTGAAGAGGATGATTGGGAAAGCATAGACTGCCGGATATCACCTTGTAGATTTTGGCCTTTGTTGTGTTTTTCAATATGCCGTTTGAGATGGTTGGTGCCGCTCTTATGATGAGCTTTGAATATCTGGCCGCACAACGCACATTTCGCATTCTGAGAGAAATTAAACTCCTTCTCTATTATTATATAATAATAACTCAATATAATAATACTATGTAGTAGTAGTACTAATTATACTATGTAACAACATATCCTACTATGCAATAGCTTCAAATTCTTATTGTAACTGCCAATTAAATATCATCATCAATTTAATAGCCCTACTAACTACAAATTAAACTCTAACCATTCATACCTCAATCATTATACAACTCAATTCACATTCCCAATTAAACAATCAAGCTCAAACCTCTCAAAGTGTAATCTCTTACTCTCTCTCTCTCTCTCTCTCTCCCTCTCAATCTCTCTCATACTTCCCGTCCTACATCAAACTCCATCAACAACGGCCTCCACCTCCTGACCTTTGCAACTAGCCACTACAATCCTGGCTAATTTCATTGTTTGCTCTGGTGAACAATAAAGAGAGGAAGTAAAGAAAGATAAATGTATCTATTTACTTTCATTTCCATCAATCTAGAATTGATTGGTGTAATTTCAAAGGTGGATCCATTCATTATGATTGTCTGATATGTTTGATTTTATGATGAGCTTCAAGTTTATGTAACTT